CTCTGCACACCTTCCGTTCATATGCCGATTTCTAGAAACATATTAACTCTTAATTCATCTGCCTAATGGATCGCTAGGTCTACAGATGATTCTTTACTTTACTTTTTTAAGAATACCTAACATTTTGTTGCATAGGGCGTCATATCTTTAAGAATACCTAACATTTTGTTGCATTGGGCGGTCATATCTTTAAGAATACCTAACATTTTGTTGCATAGGGCGTCATATCTTTAAGAATACCTAACATTTTGTTGCATTGGGCTGTCATATCTTTAAGAATACCTAACATTTTGTTGCATAGGGAAGTCATATCTTTAAGAATACCTAACATTTTGTTGCATAGGGCGTCATATCTTTAAGAATACCTAACATTTTGTTGCATAGGGCGTCATATCTTTAAGAATACCTAACATTTTGTTGCATTGGGCCGTTATATCTTTAAGAATACCTAACATTTTGTTGCATATCTTCAAAAACACGTATCTAATAATCTGGTCAGTTTACACGTACATCTGATCTTTATTTTAAAACTTGTTTTACAATCGCTACCTCCAACTCCCCCTCAATATCAATCGCTACCACCAACTCTCCCTTAATGTCAATCGCTACCACTAACTCTCCCATGATGTCAATCGCTACCACCAACGCTCCCTTAATGTCAATCGCTACCACCAACTCTCCCTCAATGTCAATCGCTACCACCAACTCTCCCTCAATGTCAATCGCTACCACCAACTCTCCCTCAATGTCAATCGCTACCACCAACTCTCCCTCAATGTCAATCGCTACCACCAACTCTCCCTCAATGTCAATGGCTACCACCAACTCTCCCTCAATGTCAATGCTACCACCAACGCTCCCTCAATGTCAATCGCTACCACCAACGCTCCCTTAATGTCAATCGCTACCACCAACTCCCCCTTAATGTCAATCGCTACCACCAACTCTCCCTCAATGTCAATCGCTACCACCAACTCTCCCTTAATGTCAATCGCTACCACCAACTCTCCCTTAATGTCAATCGCTACCACCAACGCTCCCTTAATGTCAATCGCTACCACCAACTCTCCCTTAATGTCAATCGCTACCACCAACGCTCCCTCAATGTCAATCGCTACCACCAACGCTCCCTCAATGTACATTGGTAGCCTATTGGACGACGACAATTAGCTGCACCTTCCTGCGATCAATAACCTGGACGGTCCTTGATGCGATCACCGGACAGGTAGAAGTGGCCGCCATTACAGGCCACGTCAGACAAGAGCTGCTTCAGACGGCACAGATGGTACGAACATCTACCCCATCCCTACTCCTGTCTTACCCCATCCTCACGCTCATCCACCCCATCTTCACTACCATCTATCCCCATCCTCACGCCCATTCACCCCAACCTCACTCCCATCTACCCCATCCTTACTCCCATCCACCCCATCCCCACTTCCATCTACCCCTACTACCCCATCTACCCCATCCCTCACTCCCATCTACCCCATCCTCACGCCCATTTACCCCATCTTCACTACCATCTACCCCCATCCTCACGCCCATCTACCCCATCTTCACTACCATCTACCCCCATCCTCACGCCCATCCACCCATCCCTACTCCCATCCACCCCATCCTCACTCCCATCTACCCCATCCCCCACTCCCATCTACCCCATCCCTCACTCCCATCTACCCCATCCTCACGCCCATTTACCCCATCTTCACTACCATCTACCCCCATCCTCACGCCCATCTACCCCATCTTCACTACCATCTACCCCCATCCTCACGCCCATCCACCCGTCCCTACTCCCATCCACCCCATCCTCACTCCCATCTACCCCACCCCCACTCCCATCCACCCAATCCCTACTCCCATCCACCCCATCCTCACTCCCATCTACCCCATCCTAACGCCCATCCACCCCATCCCTACTCCCATCCACCCCATCCTCACTCCCATCTACCCCATCCTTACTCCCATCCACCCCATCCTCACTCCCATCTACCCCATCCTTACTCCTCATTTCTCACCCACCCCATCCCCACTACCTCTAAAAGTAAAACTGAATCAAATGACATACAAGATCCAATACATATATTCGCATATAACCTGCTCTATTGACTGTAGTGAACACTGTTTACAGAATGAGGAAAAATTACAGAATGTTTATTAAATAAACCATTTTTAGATTTCAATTAGGGGCATGCTGTGTTCTTAGGCAATTTATTCTGTCGTTGTTTAGTAATCATTTTCTTATTTTTTTTAAAGCTCTGTTTCCCCTAACAGTAATTCGTAAATCTTAAAAGATGTTTTTTTTTCTTTAAATTTAAGCATGATAACTTTCATAAACTAATTCGTTAATTTTTTAATTTTTTTTAACTACTTCGTTAAAAGAATTTTTGAAAATTTGTTACGAACACGGATATAACTTATAGTAATGATTGAAATTATTTAATCATTTTGAAACATATTGAACTTAAACTTTAACTTTCATGGGGGTTTTGTTACACCAATATATTCACATAATTTATGCCTTATTTATGTCATCTTTTTTGTCTAATGTGCCGATTAAACTTTTGAATCTAGGCTTGAATAAACGTCCAATTACACGCGGCATTTGATAGCTTCAAAGAGCTGCTCGATTCTGTAGGGTCTTGTTGTCATATTATACCAATTATCTCCCCTTAGTAATTAATTCCCTTAGCTGATTGCTTCGTTTTAGAGAACGTCTTTGAAACTATATTTTTTAAAGTTATTATTTTATTTTTATTTTGGCTTTTTTTTTTTTTTACAGAACACTGTCACGTGGTGTTGTTATAAGTCATTTGTTTTTGAACGGCTGTTGATGTCAGGGATTTATTTTATTGCGTGCTTGTTGTAAATACTGGGGGGGGGGGGGGATAGAGATGTAGAGCTGGGGCAGTCTTTGGGTATATGTTATAGTTTTACATCTGTTGGCATTAAGAATTTTTTTAAAGTATATCAGTCTCTCTCGATTACTTCCAGTGTTTCTTTCAGAAATCTTCTCTCTGGGGGAGAGGGGGCGGACGCTTGTAAAAGTATATATTTTCTATAAAAAATGTATTTCATGGGGGGGGGGGTGCGAAAGGGGCATTTACCCTCTTCCCCCCTTCTCTCCCCCCCCCCCCCACCACCACCCTAAAAGATGACTGAAAGAAACTCTGATTTCTTAGTAGTCTGTATCTATTTTAAAACGTTTTTAACACGTTTTTATTAACTCAGCTTCGCGTGGATGTGTTTGTTGTTAAAATTGACATCGAAAATTAGCCCACTTCTGATTGCTCTATAGATCTGAAATTTGGCATGCAGGTTACTTTCGCCTAACAATTTCAGATGCAATCATAAAAACTAGCAATTAGAGACCGTAATTAGCTTAATTTAATTACGCCCAAAGGACCATAAAATTGAGGACATGATTTCTAAAGATACCGACAAGACTGGAGGCTTGTTGACACAGTTACTTCGGCCCCAATCGATGTGAGCGCGCTGGCCGTGATCGTATAGTGGTTAGTACTTCGCGTTGTGGCCGCGACAACCCAGGTTCGAATCCTGATCGCTCAAGATTTTTTTAGTCCGTGTATTTATAAACACTTAGTCAATTCATACTTAATCAAGTCATTAGATAAAGTAGAAAATAAACTATATAAAAAACTTTTTTAAAAACCACGTTTTTCATGTGTAGCAACGGACTAAAAAGGAGAAAATAAAATACTTAAAAAAAACTTTTTAAAAAACCACGTTTTTCTTGTGGACTAAAAAGTAGAAAATAACTATTTACATACATTTGATGACAAAAAACGTGGGTCGGGCAGATGGGTCGGGAAATTTGATGGTGAACGTACCCACGTTTTTTGTCATCAAATGTATGTAAATAGTTATTTTCTACTTTTTAGTCCACAAGAAAAACGTGGTTTTTTAAAAAGTTTTTTTTAAGTATTTTATTCTTAACTCAGCTTCGCGTTTGTTTGTTTGGATGTTTGTTGTTAAAATTGACATCGAAAATTAGCCCACTTCTGATTGCTCTACAGACCTGAAATTTGGCATGCATGCTACTTTCGCCTAACAATTTCAGATGCAATCATAAAAACTAGCAATTAGTGACCGTAATTAGCTTAATTTAATTACGCCCCAAGGACCATAAAATTGAGGACATGATTTCTAAAGATACCGACAAGACTTGAAGCCTATTGACACAGTTACTTCGGCCCCAATCGATGTGAGCGCGCTGGCCGTGATCGTATAGTGGTTAGTACTTCGCGTTGTGGCCGCGACAACCCAGGTTCGAATCCTGGTCGCTCAAGATTTTTAGTCCGTGTATTTATAAACACTTTTTTAAAAACCACGTTTTTCATGTGTAGCAACGGACTAAAAAGGAGAAAATAAAATACTTAAAAAAACTTTTTAAAAAACCACGTTTTTCTTGTGGACTAAAAAGTAGAAAATAACTATTTACATACATTTGATGACAAAAAACGTGGGTCGGGCAGATGGGTCGGGAAATTTGATGGTGAACGTACCCACGTTTTTTGTCATCAAATGTATGTAAATAGTTATTTTCTACTTTTTAGTCCACAAGAAAAACGTGGTTTTTTAAAAAGTTTTTTTAAGTATTTTTTCTTCATTATCTTATTGCCTCATCAGATAAATAAACGTTTCATTCTGTTGTCCACATCGAACTGACTCTAGTTCAGACATTCATGTTGCTAAAAGCTTTCCCTCTAGGCCGAGCTGGGTCTAACTCTGAGACTGAATAAACAATGTTAGATTTTAAGAGATGGACCGGTGTTGTTTTTGTATAGTCTGTCGGGAAAAGATATCCGGACCATGTTTTCATGGACCATCCACCAATCACTTGAGTGTTACGGTACACTCTAGTCAAACACAGAATTGTCTCCCTTAGAAAGGGGAGTTAAGCACTATCCTAAGAAGGGGAGATAAACACGATCGACTGTTACTTCACAATGTTGGTTTATTTTTATTTTTTTCAGATCCGGACAAACTGCGTCAATCCAACAGCAACTATGACGGACATGGGGAAATACGCTTGGAGTGACCCGGCGAAATCTCAGCCCCTTTTAAATAGAATTCCACTTGGTCGACTTGCAGGTTGGTTTACGTTAGGAAAAGTCCTTAATATTTTTTTCATTGATTTTAAACATGAGTCCTGCTGATACGTTAGGAAAAGTCCTTAATATTTTTTTCATTGATTTAAACATCAGTCATGCTGATACGTTAGAAAAAGTCCTTAATAATGTTTTTATTGATTTAAACATCAGTCATGCTGATACGTTAGGAAAAGTCCTTAATATTTTTTTCATTGATTTTAAACATCAGTCATCCTGATACGTTAGAAAAAGTCCTTAATAATGTTTTCATTGATTTAAACACCAGTCATGCTGATACTTTAGGAAAAGTCCTTAATGTTTTCATTGATTTAAACATCAGTCATGCTGATACGTTAGGAAAAGTCCTTAATGTTTTCATTGATTTAAACATCAGTCCTGCTGATACTTTAGACTTGATGAAATCAGATGCTTGCCAAAAAATAAATGTATTTATAAGTGAATGTAGCCGATTTGTTAAACAAAAACTCAATGCAGATCTTCCCGTGTGATGATGGTTGTTGTTGTTGTTGTATTGTTGCAGAGGTGGAGGATGTGGTGGACGCTGTGTTGTGGCTGCTGAGTGATAAAGCCAGCTACATCAACGGTGTGACTCTACCTGTGGAGGGTGGCCTTCTGGTGGCCTAGAACATTTAGTTATAATGGCCCGTGGCCTATAATTTTGTTAGGTTATGGCCTCCAATTTTGTTGGCCCATGGCCTCCAATGTTGTTGGCCTGTGGCCTACAATTTTGTTGGCCCGTGGCCTCCAGTTTTGTTGGCCCATGGCCTCCAATGTTGTTGGCCTGTGGCCTACAATTTTGTTGGCCCGTGGCCTCCAATTTTGTTGGCCCATGGCCTCCAATGTTGTTGGCCTGTGGCCTACAATTTTGTTGGCCCGTGGCCTCCAATTTTGTTGGCCCATGGCCTCCAATGTTGTTGGTCTGTGGCCTCCAATTTTGTTGGCCTCTGGCCTCCAATTTTGTTAGCCCGTGGCCTACAATTTTGTTGGCATTCAGTTCAGGGGACAAAAAGTTTTTCCAAGAATATTTGTTTGTGCAAAATTTGTCAAAATCTAATGCGCGTGGACTTCAGTTTCTAGTCATCTTCCATGTAATGTGTTTCTACTGCTCTAGTATACATTGTTGTTTTACAAAAATATGTGAGGTTTTTTTTCATGGGCCATTAGTATTAGCGTGTCTACGAATTATACAATTGTTGAATCTATGTAATAAAATGTAACTGCAGATTTGTGTTTTTTCTTCAATACAGTTACTGTTTCGACGTTAATTCATTACCACTGAGAAGAACATTTAATCAGAGTTATTGTTCCTGTTTTTATGACAAGACACGAAACTTTGAGTTATCGTTCTTGTTTCAATAAGCTACTTCAACTTCCTTCTCAAAACAGATTTTTTTTCAAGTTAAAAAATTAATGATTCACATTATATAATTTAATAAACTGTTTCTTAATAAATATGCTTTATATAATTGGCACTGTTTCAAAAGAATTAATGCACATCGTAGATCTAAATATACTTGATCTAGATCTAATTTTACCGCCGATTCTATTGGTAGAGGTAAACTAATTTTAGTTTTTAGAAACTGAAACTTTTATCAAGCTATTTCCCTTTCATCTATTCGATTAATTTGATTTATAAATGCATTAGATCGGAAAAACAGAACTAACTTGACTTTGTATAAAGGATTAAACAGTCTGTGGTCATCGTTTTATTTTCATTGAGAAACAGACAAGGGAGATAACAGCATTTGTCACGACGCAATATTTTAGGTACCAGTAGCTTACTTGAATGGATTATTTTCCCACCGAGTGGCTGTGAATGCCACATCAGAACTACATCAAGAACTCTTCAGCGTCACAGTATAAGCCGGGCTGTGGAATTTTCCTTGTAATGTTTGTAAACAAAGTTGGCCCTTGTATGAGTAGTCTCATGATGGATAACTCTTACAAAACATGAGCTTACAACATAAAGAAAACCATAGTTGTCGCTCTTATATGGAGTATCAAACGCAGACTGGATAAAGTGGTCAAGAGAAGAGTTTGACACGAAGACATCATGAGCGATAGCACGTTCAGTAAGATGTGGTCAGCTCACCCAACCCACCCCCTTGAAAATATCCTCGAGGTGAAAATGAAACCACTCAAATACGAGCTGGGTTTCTTTCAAACATCTTTCCCGAGGGGAGGAGCATTTTTTTTTAAATTGATTTAATTATATATTTTTTAATGAAAATAAAAACCACCCTATCAGCGCCACGATCCCATTAGCCAACACATAATTGGGGGGGGGGGGGGGGGAGGGAGGCATGCAAGCGTTAAATTTTAGAGTATAGATACATTGTCTAAAAGGTAGCACGAAGTCGACCATTAAAGCAGGCTTACTTCAACTTAATTTACTGAGTGTCATTTAAATGTTAAATAACAATATGTTAGTCCATCACTTATCTTACAATAAGTAACCTACTATATTTCCCTTTGTTTAAATAGACGTTGATCTAGGTTTTAAGGATTACTTTTAAATACATGAGCTGAAGTACCAGGGTAGTTGGGATGGCTACAGATGTTTGTAACTTTCGCTGACTAGACGTTGTCATGTGAATCTTAGTAAATTAAACACTGAACAATTTTACAGTCATTGAACACATCGACATAAAATGTGACGCTGTGTAAAAGTAAAGTTCCCTTTCAAACCTGACGGTCTATGGGGCAAGTGAAGTAGAGTTCACTTGTTTCTGTGACCTCGGCATATGAAGAGATAGTGTGGTCAGCACTATCCCCAGCCGCCTTTACTTTCCCTAACGTGAGTTAGGTACCCATCTGAGTTGGGTGGACTGAGGGACGGTCTACTGACTTGAACCCGGATTCGAACAAGTAAAGTAAACACTGAACAATTTTACCGTCATTGAACACATCAACATAAAAAGTGACGCTGTGTAGCTATTTGTTTAGTCCGGGTGTGTACAAACATCACGTGGTCGACCTTATCGATAATGTGGCAGAATTACAAATCAGCCAGGAATCGATCACCAATTAAATCAATACATCGCGCAGCGTTAAAAATAAATTGGCCAGGACGTTGTAAACAGGTCAAAAAACGGTCCCAGACACAAGGCATCGACTCTGAAAGGCCCCCGTGACCTAGAATCTAGAGCACGCTCGGTTCTTGTGGTATTGACTATCGAGTGGGTTCTGATCTACACACTAGGTGTCGCAAGGCCTGCCTATCGATTGCATGTTGATCAAAGTCTGGAACAGGTGAACTATCGGCTGCTTGATCACGCTGAGGTAAGTTTAGCTGGAGTCTATTTGTCTTCTACACATACAATGTTTAGTTTTACACACATAATGTTTAGTTTCACACACCTAGTGTTAAGTTACACAGTAACATAGAGTAACACAGTTCACATGTTTTACAAACTCGTGAAAATAAAAACTCCTATCCCCACACCTATGAATGATTTGGTTTATTTGTTTGTGAAAAAAAAATCTTGGCATGTCGTGACAAAAATAAATACGTTATTTAGACCTAGAGATCTAGTTGGTTTGTGTATACTACAGTTAACTTTGTATGGGGCAAGTTTTAGATTAGTGGCGAAGTATTAGGCTACATATTGTAGTAACGCTTTAACTTACATTCAGTTTCTATTGCTATAATAAGGGACATGTAAGTTTAGTAAGCCTAAATGGGAATATCGCGTAATGCTATGCAATACATTACTTAAGTAGTGGTGTGTTCAAGTTAATGATTGTGTGTAGTGGACTGAATACCTGTGTGACCATGGTTAGCCTACCTGACTAACTATGTGTGAAAATGTTGTATCTTTCTGTTTTTGATGACTGTATTTAGTTGGCTTAATATCTGTGTGACAATGTTAATGACTGTGTAAAAAGATTCTTCCTTAGACCTAGCGATCCATTGGGCAGATGAAGTAGAGTTCATATGTTTCTTCACCTCGGCATAATTTTATAAAACCCTCTCGCCTTACTTTCCCCAACGTAAGTCAGGTACCCATCTGATGACTGTGTGTAGTTGACTGACTATATTTGTGTTGTTGACTGAGTATCTTTTTGATATAGTTGACCTTGAGTAGTTGACTGAAGATCTGTCTCGTTGATGACTGTATTTAGTAGACTAAATATGTGTGACTTTGTTGTTAGCTGTGGGTAGCTAACTGAATATCTTTGTGACAATGTTGTTGACTTCGTGTAGTTGACTGAAGATCTTTGTGTCGTTTGATGACTGTAGTTAATTGACTTAATATATGTGACAATGCTGATGACTGTATTTAGCTGACCGAAATGTATGACAATGTTGATGACTGTGTGTATTTCACTGAAGATCTTTGTGTTCTTGATGACTGTATTTAGCTGACCGAAATGTATGACAACGTTGATGACTGTGTGTATTTGACTGAAGATCTTTGTGTTGTTGATGACTATTTAGCTGACCGAAATGTATGACAATGTTGATGACTGTGTGTATTTGACTGAAGATCTTTGTGTTGTTGATGACTGTATTTAGCTGACCGAAATGTATGACAATGTTGATGACTGTGTGTATTTGACTGAAGATCTTTGTGTTGTTGATGACTGTATTTAGCTGACCGAAATGGTTGACAATGTTGATGACTGTGTGTATTTCACTGAAGATCTTTGTGTTGTTGATGACTGTATTTAGCTGACCGAAATGGTTGACAATGTTGATGACTGTGTGTATTTCACTGAAGATCTTTGTGTTGTTGATGACTGTATTTAGCTGACCGAAATGGTTGACAATGTTGATGACTGTGTGTATTTCACTGAAGATCTATGTAAATAACATTATCCTGCCCATCGCCCTCCAGTTATTGTTGTTATTATTTCCAGCATCCAGCATGGACAACCAGGGCAGATCTATGGCTGGTCAAGTTTGTTTTCGTATTGGCCAGTTCATTTTGTTGGCAGGGGAAATTTGTTTCATCGTTGCCATAGCAACATCTTACTGGGTCGTTCGACCAGTCATTAACTTTAAAAAAGAAGGAATCAATCCTAATGAGGTAATATATTTAATTAAATGGTATATATTATACTTATGTACTTAACAGTGACAATAAAACGTAACAAATGTTTACTTAAGAAGTTTAGTCCAATGAATCAGTCATACAAAAGAGTAGCACTTTTTCAATATTTTCACAACCATTCCAAATAAGAGCAAAGGATGAGAGAACAAAATGGTTAACCTGTATAGATATCTATATTAATCAGAAAACGTGATCAGTCAGCTAAAAATAATTAGTTATTGTAATTATTGTTACGCGGTTTCTTTAAGACATCTCTTTAAGGAGGGGGGAGAAGAGCTGCCTAACACACCCCCCCCCCCACAACAGATAGAATACTTTATATAGAAAATACACATTAAGCAGTGGCTATTTCCACTCCCCCCCCCCCCCCCTTCCCAAGTAAAATGTACGTCAGACTCACGGCAGGCATGTTATTCTTCACTGTTGGTTACCTTTGCAATAACAGAACCTATTTTTGTAGATTGGTCTTGCTAAATTTAGATGCTATGTCTTTAGCAATACCTACTTTACACTTATTGTCAAATTAAGACATTGAAATGACCCCCCGCCCCCCTCCCTTGAGACTTAATATTCACAAAAATGGTATAACTAAACTCTATACCAAGTCAAATCTAAGTTGGGAAATCGATGAAATTTCAGACGGTGGTGACACAAAATTTTGGAATATTCCACGCCTGCAGACAGCCTGTGGTGACAGCTGGTGACGATCACGGCAGACATCTGTGTGGTGCCCTGTGGGACAACTTGAACTACATTAGTAAGTTGTCCAGTGTTTCTTCTAGACTTTTTTTCTCCGGGGGGGGGGGCACTTGAATTTTTTTTTGGGGGGGGGAGGGGCGGTAGGCTTTCTTGAGGAGGGGGGCGGACACTTAAAAGTATATATTTTCTATATAAATTTCATTTCGTTCGGGGGGGGGGGGGGGGGCCGGTACACTTTCTTCATCTCCGAAGAGATGCCTGGAAGAAATTCTGAAGTTTTTCTACATCATAGCATTCGATTATTTCATGATTTTATGTTAAACTGACTCTGTAAAGGTCCAACTTTGCTAAATTAAATATAAATTAGCCCCACATCATTCAACGACATCAACAGAAAATAAGTTCTCATACCTCTCTTAACTAAAGTAGCTAATGTTTAGGCATATTCACTTATAATTTATCCAAGTGTATCGATATATTTATCAGCTTCCAAAATCATGATTCTGAAGATTTTAAATTTACTTTATAGTTCCAGCACACATGTACCAACCTTGTTAGTTTTCTACTTTTTAAAAGACAATTTCAATACATCAACAATTAAATATTTTTAAAAAACCCCAAATCAAATTGTATGTTCACATATGAATAAATAAAACCCCTACAATCTGCATTCCTAGACTCTAGTTTCAGCTCTTAGATCCAGACTTTCAAAACATGTTATTTTAGCTGTTTCACCATCTAGGTTCCACCCCCTCACTACAATCAACCAATCTGTGTCTCCATAGGTCCTCATGCTGCTAGGTATGTCCAGTTTGTCATGATCATTGCTGCCCTGCTCTATGGTGTGGGTGTAGTGCTGGAGATTATTCAACTTGTGCCCATACACAAGTATAGAAATTTTATTGCCAAGAACAGAATGGTTGAGATGTTTTCAAGCATTGCTAGTAAGTCTAAAACAGCACCATTATCATTAATATTGAACTACTGTATAATTCAAAGAACTAGTAATCTAAGCACATTTTCCAACAAACTATGATTATTCTAAAAGCATTTAAAATTATATCACTTAAGAATTATCCAGATATTTGAAGAGCTATATGCTGTGTACACACCTTTTCTAGCCCTTACTTACACTTATTCAATAATTAATAGACTTTTGACACTTGTCATTTTCAAGAGACTACATCATTCTTGTAGTGTAATGTTTATATTTCAATTTCTTATTGCCCAGCCTACACCATTCTTGTAGTGTAATGTTAATATTTCAATTTCTTATTACCCCAGTGTAGCAGCATACATCATTCTTGTAGTATAATGTTAACATTTCAATTACTCATTGCCCCAGCCTACACCATTCTTGTAGTGTAATGTTAACATTTTAATTTCTCATTGCCCCAGCCTACTTGTGTAGTGTTACCATTTCAATCTCTCATTACCCTAGTGAAGCAGCCTACAGCCTTCTCTGACTGTAATGTTAACATTTCAATTGCTCCAGCCTACATCATACTTGTGTAATGTTACCATTTCAATCTCTCATTGCCCCAGTGATCATACTTGTAGTGTAATGTTAACATTTCAATTGCCCCAGCCTACATCATACTTGTGTAATGTTAACATTTCAATCTCTCATTACCCCAGCTGTCCTGGTACTGCAGGGAATTCTAATCTTTGCTGGAGAGATCAAAAGTAAAGCCCAGCGTGTCAGTGGTCAGGAGCAAGAACAGTCAGGGTGGTCCTTCATCATAGCAGTCATTGGCCTGCTCTTGTGTATCATAGGTCTAGTGCTGGTCACCATGTTCAGAGAGCTGCCAATACCTGGCCTAGAGAAGGAAGGGGGAAGCTGGCTCAAAGCCACAAAAAAGAGAACAGACACCACAAGCAGCTCCCGGCTAGATTCATGAGATGTCAGTGATGTGAATGGATCATGTTTTATTACTGTGTACCCAGAGTGTACATGTGGGGGATAGCTACAAGTTTTTTTTTTAAAAGGTAGCAACTAAACTTGTAATTACATTTTAATTGTGGGCTGTTTTATAAGTATAATTAAACATTATGTTGATATTAAGATTTGAACTTTTTAAGTTTAAACTGCGCAAGATTGATAAATGTTATAAATAAAATTGTTTACGCTCTCATGTCATTCTATGTCTGTACCAACTGTTTCTCAAATTGTCTTTAAAAAAATTAATGGCCTTAGCCTTAAGCATTTTTTCTAACCTATAAGTAAGAAAAAAAATGTTAGATGAAAATGTTTCACTTTTCACATAATCACAAGTATATGTTATTGTTGCATGTAAATAGTTGTAATTTTCTATTATGTGTAAGTTTTCATTAATTAAAAAAAAAAACAATAATATGATGTGTAATAAACATTTTATTCAAATAATGTAACATGTATTTTCTTAAAAAATGTCTGCATAAAAATATATGCACACAAAAGAAAAGCAATAGAGCTTGGAATTTTATAAAGTCTCTTTTCCATTGGCCTGATGTACAATTGAAGACAAAATTTGCTGGAACCTTCAAAGCAGAAAATGTTCCCAAAATTGCACTACTTAGGCATATTCTTACAAACAATAGCAAATGAACATTGTGACACTTCTACTTTTTGCACAAATGTAACCACTAGCTAACATGTAGAATAGAAATAGGATGTTGCTTTGATTCAGAACAATCACACATTTCACCATTTTTGTTCTACTTATACAACAGAATTTTTACAACTAAGTTACCACTTGAGGCAAAGCAAGTTTAGTTTAAATAACAAGATCTCTAATAATTTTTTTTTCACTATTTAAAATTGTTGCTAAACAACTAGTTAAAACTTCTACTAAAACATTCATAAAAACCTTGATGACAAGCTAAAATGCTGATGAATATAATGACTGGCACTAAAGCTTGCAAATATGATGTCTCACATTAACCTCTTGATGGAGGTACCATACCCATTCCTGGTAACAAACTATTACTGCCTGCACTTCCAGAAACGGCTGCATTGGGTCCCAGCAAGATCTGCAATTCAAAATAAACCCAATCTTTAAATTCTATAAAATGTCAGTAAATATGCTCAGTTTTCAGTAATTAGTAGCTTAGACAGACAATGTCAAGGCTGGTTATGAAATATTCTTAGTATACCTGTCTCTGTTGCTGAAGTTGTTCTTCATGCTGTTGAGCCCTCTCCGATTCAAATATCACAGGGAGGATAAGAATAACCGCAGAGGAGCTAGCAATCCAAAGAGCACCACGAAGAAGAAAGAAGCTTGACTTAGTTGCTGCTGCAAGAAAAGATGTGGCACAGGCACAAGTCTTGCGAATACCCTCTGGGAACATCTCTGTTAATCCCAACAATCGCTCAGATATGCTTTCATCCTGAAAGAAATGATTTTAAATTAAATGTTAATCACCTTCCTTGCACAACTGAAATATTTTAGAACTAATTTGAGTTTGGGTTCTCTAGGTGGTGTTTACTTAACAAGAAGTGGATGTTCTTTATTTTTTGTAATGAAATTTAAGTTAAATAAAGTTTCAATTTAAAATGTAAGATGGCCAGAAAAAAAAAATCTTTCTTCTAGCCATTTAGTGGAAGTGACCTCATACTGTTGAGCATGTTTTTTGGTTTCATCTGTATTGCTGTTAGAAGAGAGATCTACACGGGAATTATTTTAAAACAAGGCTATAAAAGAAATAAATCGATTTTCCATTCATCATCATAGGGCAGGTGAAGTAGAGTTTATATGTTTCAATGACCTTTGCGTACAAGGGGATATAATGTGGTCAGCCTTTGTTTTCCATAACATCTCTCATCAATGCTGGACGGACTCAGGGAAATTCTACTCTCACTCGTAAATTCCTTTCAGTGCCAGGACAATTTTTTTTTTCTTTTAAAAAAATTTAAGAAGTAGTATACCATGGCCCTGAATGAAGACTGAGTTATATTCAAAGCATCACTCCTTTGGAAATAAGAAAAAATTGTCGCTTAGGGCTTTCACACCACATTGCTGATAAATCATAAAGCTTAATAATTATGATGCAGCTTTTTCCTTAAATTAAGTTAAATCTTTGGATGAAATATGGGCCTAAAGTATAAAATCAAACTATTGAAAGCATGCCACACAATTAGGCAAACTGATTGTTGATTGATTGAAACTACTGACTGTCTGTAGTAGTCACATAGCAGTTTGTATCTAGTATCTAGTTGGTTAAAGTGTCATTTTTAGACACCTTACTACAAAATATGACTCCCCGGCCCATAGATCTAGATCTAAATCTAGATCTAAGTAAAAAAAATATTCACAAATAAAAATTAAAATTGAGCTTTCACTTTCATCATCGTCAGTCATCATCATACAATAGGTTTTTCGATTCGGGAAGTCTCGTTCTCGCGGTTTTGAAGCACCCGTGTTTTGGGCGGACATATAAAATATCGAATCTTTTCTTTCTCATGAAGTACATAATAGTTAAAAATAAGGATTGTATCGTAATCGGAAAGATTTGTACTCGAAACTTCCCATGTATTTACAGGGCGAATAATTAACATTTTAATAATGGCAGCTTGACCTAATTTCTTCCTTTGTCTTTCACGAGGCCGTCGAGAGAAAGTCACGCTTATTTAGCTTGTGTTTCAAGTCGAATTATTTAAAGCAGGTGCGTTACCCAATAACTTTTTTATTAGACCCAATTTTTATAACATCTTTACTATCAAATAAAACTAGATTTGTTTAATGAAATTAGGCTGAAAACAATACATTTGCTTCTGTAAGTGGCCAACCCTCTTTTTTTTTTTAAGACGCCATTTTATAATAATCTAATTGCCGATTCCGGAAGAGGTGAAGGGGTGGGGTTGGCATTGACGGACTGTTAGAGTGAAAAACACTTAACTTGAATGAAAAAAACTTTATTCGCGCTTACAATTTGAAATAAAGTTTTGATAACTTAGCCATTAAGAGACAGATATGTTTTATTTACTTATTTTAAAACTGGATTGTTAATATATCGACAGTTTTTTTTTGTTTATGGTGTGTGACTGAGTGTGTCCTTGACCTTTAAGTGCTGTTCTAGTTAGGAATGCAGGGCAGATGCCTTAGTTAGATGCCAAGAACTCATAATAGTCATCATAATTCTTAGTTAGTTTATTAAATACCACTTCAAACAGTTCTTATATTATTATTACTTGAGTAATTCATACCTTTATTAATAATTTGCTAATTGTTTCTGACAAAATATGATCATGGCACGGGCCGTCTTCAGGAAGGGGGCGGGTGGGGGCTTAAAAAATGTCACATAGTACGTTATTTTGTCATTCTTTTGGGAAATTGTGTTTTTTGTCGTGGGGTGGGACTTTGTGAGATTTTTGGTGGTGGTTTTGAGACATTAGTGGTTGGTGAGTGTAATTATGATGTCTTTTATAGATAACGAGCCGCCCCGTGGCGTATCATACGCAGCTATTTAGTTGTTTTATTTTCTACTTTTCAGTAATTCATAATTTGTGAATTCGACAGTACCAATGCTGCCATTGAAAATATTTGCTTTAAAACACTAACACCCCTCCCTTTCCCCCAACCCCTACCCTACACCCCCCCCCCCCCCCGTGAAAGCAGCCTCCTCTTAGTAACCTCCTGTAAGTTTAAAATCATTTCAAACTAAATTATTTGCCCCTGATAGCCGTCACTAAACCCGTCTACGATTTGTAAACATTAACGTGACTACAGCTCACCAGATCATGTGGGGTTGGGGTGGGGGTGGTAGTGATAGCGACAGAGAGGAAGAGAGGGGATTGTAAGGCGCGTTTGCAGCTTGTTTTCTAACGGCTCGAAGAAGAGAATTATATATATAGATATTCAGTATTATTAAATTTTGTCAATCTTTTTTTTCTCACAAAATGTTAATTATGTCCTATTCTATATTACATTGATTCTGAACATCAGAGTCAGTTTTGCCATTCAATATAATATACACCACAGACATATTTACATTGTCAGATGGCTGAAGTTTACAATTGGAAAATGTGAATTATGTCCTACACCATAACACATTGATTCTGAACATCATAGTCAGAATTTGTCAATACACCACTGACATGTTACATTGTCAGAAGTAATTTGTCTGGCTAAAACCATCAGGAGTTTAAACAATATGAATTGAGATGTATGTTTGGTATTGCAATACAAAAAAAATCAATACATCGCACTGATTCTGAACACTAAGTCAATCTAAAGTCAATATTTGTACACTGTTAAAAAAACACAAAACTGGTGGGTCATGTATATTTTTTTATTTTCAATTTTTCAACTTCAATGACAGGTACATTATTTACAATTTTATTGTCTTGCATGTGTAAATGTGTACATATAACATTTGATTTTTAAAGAATTTACTTGTTACTTGTCGTCTGTGTTGTATATATCTTTTTCAAACTTATTGACAAGTACATTAATTACAATTTATTGTCTTGTTTGTGTACATATGTACATACATATTACATAGGCTTATTTGATGATTGTAAAACTAGTTTGTTATTATGCCTGTATGTATTGTGTTGTGTAACTCCGACATAACCTGGTCCCAAATCAAGGATGAAAAAGAGAGAAGGGGACAGTCACAATTGCTTAAATCTAATCTGATATAGTATGTCTTATCTTTAGGCAGACTGTTCTGTGCCTAAAGAAAATATGTAGTCAATTTAGTGTGCTTTAGAACATAGCTTCATTTAAGATTTTTAGTTTCTATAGAAAGGAAACGCCCATTAAATGTCACACATAATTTCATAAAATAGATCCTACTTTAGATCTTCAAATACTGACTCCCATTGTAAACTGCCTAAATAATAAGTGTGCACAGTCTAAGTAATTAAAATAATAAATATGGATGATTTTAAAATTAGAACTATAAGGCTAATTTTTTGTGTTACCAATATCTGCCAACCTTATTCATTAATATTTTTTTTTAAGTTATTAATCAATCTTGGTTACTTTTAGCTATCTACAATCATTTCTAAGCTATTTTAATATGCTTCTGTTAAGTTTCATTGAAAAATGTTAAAAATTAATCCAGATATCCACTCATGAAATCAGGTCACAGGTCTAGAGTTTTTTCTTCATTAGCTATGCCACACGGACCCATGACTTTGGAATTTTTTTTCAGTCATAATGACTTTGCACAGAAAGTTTATATATGCTAAATTGACTTAGTTTACCATTGTCCTAGCTATTACTGATACTTTTTTTTAAAAAAATTTTCTTTTTAATTTTTCATCAAACTGCCTACATACAATGTCCCTAGAGAAGGCAATAAAACATCACTCTAGTCCTCTTAAAGCATTATCACTTGTTAGTAGTCAGACTATTGGGGCTAGAACTGTGCAATATTATTTATTAGGCCCTTAATTATAGATCTAGTAATTACGACTTATTTATGTATTAATTGCTGAATTAAGAATTGCGAATGTGACCTTGCCCCGATAACTGCCAATCTTCTCCCCCCCCCCCCCTTTTTTTTTTTAGCCCTTAGATATGTTTGAACTTCTAGCTTAAGTGAAAAAAAATTAAACATTCGACTGTACATTCATTAGCGACATTAGAATGTTGCGGGATTTTACCTCATCTATCTCGTCATCCTCGTCTTCGATGGCTTTATTCGTATTTTTATCAGCCATGTTGGTAAGGCATGCAATAGCTTTCGCTGTTGTGCTTCGGCCGGATCAAAGTTCTGGAGAAAAGTTAAAATTCATTTATAATTCCGAATGACAAAATATTAAATGGTGCCAAATCCAAATATAGTTATAGGTCCATAAATATAAAAGATTAAAACATATTTAAACTACTTAAAATAATATGGAAATAATTGGAAAGTTAATTTTAAAAATACACGATTTATTATTAAGATAACTTTAGTAAGTGCTAAATATTTTACGCACAATCCAATGCGGCATACCTTACCTACGGATTTCCGTTTTAGCCTAGATTCTAACGGATTTAGTTGTAAAAATGTTTCGTCTTTATCTATCATGTTCAAGAAAAAAATCATAAATATTAATCATTGACTAAAGATGAATTTTTATTTAAAATGGAAAAAAAAATTCATAAAAAACGTTTTAATAACAAGCTTTTATGTAATGATGCACTAAAAAGTAGAAAATAAATTATAGACTACTATTTAAATAACTATAAAGAAAAGCGTGGGTGTCTTCCTTAACATTAGTAAAGGTATCCAATAGATACTAAAGTGACCCACGCTTTTCTTTATAGTTATTTAAATAGTAGTCTATAATTTATTTTCTACTTTTTAGTGCATCATTACATAAAAGCTTGTTATTAAAACGTTTTTTATGAATTTTTTTTTCAGTACTTTACATGTTTTATTTACAATAGAGTTACATGACTAAAAACCATTGCGCGCCTACTGAACATCACGTTCAGTAGGCGCGCAATGGTTTTTGAACGCAGCCATTGAAGCTATTGAAGGTGATGACGCGTGTGGTGTGGTTGGCTAGACATGCCTACTAATTCGGTCCAAATTTTTATTAATTCATAAAAAATTAATTAGGCATCCAATTAAGTCAAATTTAGTTTCAGATTGCATTGTCTTCATGTCTTGACCCACGTGCCAACTGTGAATCGTATCGGTCAAGTAGAACTATCCGAATTTTCACTCCTGCGTTTCCGTCTAGACTGACGACAGAGGAAGTGAGTTAAATAAAAGCTTGTAAAAAAAAATTCATAAAAAACGTTTTAATAACAAGCTTTTATGTAATGATGCACTAAAAAGTAGAAAATAAATTATAGACTACTATTTAAATAACTATAAAGAAAAGCGTGGGTCACTTTAGTATCTATTGGATACCTTTACTAATGTTAAGGAAGACACCCACGCTTTTCTTTATAGTTATTTAAATAGTAGTCTATAATTTATTTTCTACTTTTTAGTGCATCATTACATAAAAGCTTGTTATTAAAACGTTTTTTATGAATATTTTTTTCAGTACTTTACATGTTTTATCTACAATAGAGTTACATGACTAAAAACCATTGCGCGCCTACTGAATATCACGTTCAGTAGGCGCGCAATGGTTTTTGAACGCAGCCATTACGTGGTCGTGATGGCGCAGCTATTGATGACGCGTGTGGTGTGGTTGGCTAGACATGCCTACTAATTCGGTCCAAATTTTAATTAATTCATAAAAAATCAATTAGGCATCCAATTAAGTCAAATTTAGTTTCAGATTGCATTGTCTTCATGTCTTGACCCACGTGCCAACTGTGAATCGTGTCGGTCAAGTAGAACTGTCCGAATTTTCACTCCTGCGTTTCCGTCTAGACAGACTGTCGACAGACTGACGACAGAGGAAGTGAGTTAAATAAAAGCTTGTAATAAAAAAAAAATTCATAAAAAACGTTTTAATAACAAGCTTTTATGTAATGATGCACTAAAAAGTAGAAAATAAATTATAGACTACTATTTAAATAACTATAAAGAAAAGCGTGGGTCACTTTAGTATCTATTGGATACCTTTACTAATGTTAAGGAAGACACCCACGCTTTTCTTTATAGTTATTTAAATAGTAGTCTATAATTTATTTTCTACTTTTTAGTGCATCATTACATAAAAGCTTGTTATTAAAACGTTTTTTATGAATTTTTTTTTCAGTACTTTAAATGTTTTATTTACAATAGAGTTACATGACTAAAAACCATTGCGCGCCTACTGAACATCACGTTCAGTAGGCGCGCAATGGTTTTTGAACGCAGCCATTACGTGATGGCGCAGCTATTGAAGGTGATGACGCGTGTGGTGTGGTTGGCTAGACATGCCTACTAATTCGGTCCAAATTTTAATTAATTCATAAAAAATTAATTAGGCATCCAATTAAGTCAAATTTAGATTCAGATTGCATTGTCTTCATGTCTTGACCCACGTGCCAAATGTGAATCGTATCGGTCAAGTAGAACTGTCCGAATTTTCACTCCTGCGTTTCCGTCTAGACTGACGACTGACGACTGACGACAGAGGAAGCAAGTTAAATAAAAGCTTGTAAAAAAGAACTAACACTTCAGCTTTTGGGAATGAGGTGGGGAGGGGACCATGTTAGGGATCGTCCATAAATGACGTCACAGTCGTAAGGGGGAAGTGGGGGTCCGTAATTTTGTGACGGTGTGTGATGAGGGGAAGGGGGGGGGGGGGTTCAGATGGTGGGACGTCACACTTTTGCATTATAAAAAAGCAATGTTAGAAAACGAATTTTAGCCGTTATTTCGCGCTTTAGAAAACTGTTTTAATAAATTGTAATAGGAATTGATCAAAATACTCTATGTTGACGGAGTTCTAATAAGATTTTGGAAAAGGAAAAATATCGACGTTTTAAGAAAAATTCAACAGCAATTTTGAGGGGGTTGTAGGCTGAGGTGGGGTGTGACGTCATTTTAGGGGAGGGGGGAGTCTGGCTTTTTTGTGACGACGTGTGATGGAGGGGAGGTAAAAATCGTCAAAAAATGTATGGATGACCCCTCATCCTATTTCTCAAGAAGTTAAAGCTTTTAAAAATCGTTACTGTTTAATAATACAATAAGGTAATTTTCGCACACAGGCATGTATATTTATTTAGACCCCATTCCTCTAAAAGTCGTAACGATTCAACCGAAAAACATTTTATTTAAAAAAAAGAACATTTCTCTAAAGGGATATAACCAAGCAGTGATGAGTTTGCTAAAACTGTTCACTGAGTAGTTTCCCTTAGTAAAGAAGATGTTTTGAAAAGCTTAATCGATTTCAATATTTACAACAATAAAAAAAACAGGTATTTCTGAGTTGCAGTGGCGTAGCGAGGTCGGGTGTTACCCGGTGCGGCACTTAATGGTCTCGCCCCCCAGAGGCGTAGCGATCCTTCCCGGGGACAAACTTTCAAGTTTTCTTTTTGCACCCCCCCCCCCTCAAACTTTCTATTTGCACCCCCCCCTCTCTCAAGTTTTTGATTTGCACCCCCCTCTCTATATATTTTGCTATTTTTTGCCTTGGTGTCACCCCCCTAAATGGTGTCAACCGGTGCGTTTCGCCCCCCCCCCCCCCCGGTGGGTTGTAATTAAAAAAACCTGCTAAAATTCAGTTTAAATAATAAATGTTACAAAATGCAATTGTCTGACGTCAGTTATTAAAACTAACAGATTAACCTTTTTTCTTACTGTAAAACACCCGCTTTTCACCTGCTTTCTTTCACCTGATGCACAATTAATATATTATTCATCTTTTATTTATCTAGTACTAGTAACACTCATCACAACCCCCTTGTCCTATACTCAGTGTATTTAACTATAATTTGATACTAATAAATCCCCCCCCCCCCCTCATGTGATGTTTTTGATTAAGCACAACTTGTTTGTTTTAAAGGAATAAAAGACAGGCTTAAATTGTGTTTAGTTTATCTTTTGGTTTGTACCTGGAACATTTTGGTATTTTTTAAAGCTACAATGAAATTCTTTTCTGTACAAATCAGATGTTTTAAATGTTTTTTAAGTTTCAAAAGATGTTTATTAGAAAAACTTCTTTATCATGTACATTAAGGAATTTTGAAATGCTTATTTATACATATTATAATATATATCTATATATATAATTCTCTTCTTGAAGACGTTAGAAAACAAGCTGTAAGCCCGCCTTGCAGTCCCCTCTCTTCCTCTCTAGGAAGTTTGGTGAGCTGTGGTTCACGCTAAATGTTTACTATTGTAGAGCCGGGTTTAGTGACGGCTATTAGGGGCAGATAATGTAGTTTGAAACGATTTTAAACTTAGGGGAGGTAACGAAGAGGAGGGTGGGGGAGTTAGGTGGGGCGGGGGTGGGGTAGGGGGAAAGGAGGGGGGTATCGTCCTTAATGACCATCTGATGGTGTTTTAAAGCAAATATTTTCAGTGGCTGCATTGGTACTGTCAAATTCACAAATTATGAATTACTGAAAAGTAGAAAATAAAACAACTAAATAGCTGCTTTAACCCGTGGGTTGGCTTGTATATAATATATATATATATATATATATATATATATATATATATATATATATATATATATATATATAAGGAAGATAATGATGAAAGTCATAACTAAACAGTTGTTTTAAATCAGTAAATGACAACACAATATTTCATAAAAGTCCACTGTATTTTATATGTAGCATTTAACATAACAAATAATAATAGTATAGTAATAGTTATAGTCCAGCTTTAAATAAAGCACTTGTTTTAAATATTGAAAATAAAATGATCAAGCTCTATGCTTTTTATTTGCATGATCATACATTTCTTTTATCTCATTAGCGAAGTATTTAGAAACATCCTGGCGTTTTGTTTTGAATGTGGGAGTTAACATTCCATTTTCAACAGAGAAAAGTTCAGGGTGTATGTGAATATCTTTCACCTAAAAAGGTTAAATAAATAAAATTTAGTAAAGTATTAGTCATGATTAAAATAAAATGTAACTGGTCACATATATAATATTTACATATAAATAATTATTTTAAAACTGGTAAATTCATTAGATGAAGAAAAAATACAATGGGTGCTAAGCTGATGATTTTGCTTTTTCTTTTTAACATATACCTGATTTTGAACCCGAAAATCAACCTATACCTCCTAACTAAAGACTTATCCCTTGCATTAACTATGACCATAATCCAAACACTAACCATAACAGCAGTAATTTTTTTTTGTCTTTATTATCAATGAAATAAACATTGAGCCACTGGTACAAACATTGGGCCACAAAGATAATGGCCACTGGAACGAAGAACATATCTACACGGCAGGAAGATTTCCAGCCACTGGAATAAAACATCTGGCCACTGGTACAAACATCGGGCCACAAAGATAATGGCCACTGGAACGAAGAACATATCTACACGGCAGACGTTTGGCCACTGGTACAACATTGGCCACATGTATAAACATAGGTCACATATGTAAATATCTGGAACGAAGCACATATGTACAGCAACAAAACATCGACTGGGCCAATAATCCAGCCTTAGTGGCCAGCCATAAGGCTGCCACTATCCGAGGCCTAGACCATGCACGCGGTACTCCCGCTGCGTTTCACACCTGACAACTGACCACAACAGAGATCATGAGTAATGATTCTACCGGGACGTCCAGCGGCATGTCCAAACTCAACTTTAGACATAAATCACCGCGGGTGTCTTCCCATCATTACGTGCCACTCATGCACCTGCATAGAGCTCGTAGCCCTTAACGACCAGAGTGAGCCAATAACATTTAATTAAATTTTAGATATCCCCGGCCTGCTCATCCCCAATATCTTAGATTAACCCCTTGGGTTTCTGTAACTAGTCCTAGTCACCTAAACCCCTTTAATAAGCACCCAAGTTACCATTTTACTTAAAAATAAACAATATATTACCAGCCAACATGCTTACTTAAGAATCAACAATTTGGTACCAGCCAACACGCTTCCTCCGCAAAAATGATTGCGTCCCCGCAATCAACTTAACCATGGCAACTAATTGAGATAAACATTCTACTTTACTGTTCCCCTACTGACACAACACATACCTCTAATTTACAGTAAAGGCCACTGAAGGCAAAAACATCAATGAGCATACTGAAATGTCTCAAAAATGAACATCTACTGAAACCAGGTATAAACACGTACTTATCTTTAAAGGGTAGTTAACCAAAATGGACAAATCACGCCTTTCGACTACAAATAAATGGCCATCAATAAAGATAAATACCAGTCAGTCACACATAATTTTATACCACAAGGCCTGATAATGTACATCCGGTACCAATATCAGCCAAGTCTTCCCAGTCATAAAATTACGTAACAGCATGTTTCATCTACAATAATTACTATTCAACGAATACCATAATTGCCAATAAAAAATTCAACACCGTCAAAACTTACAAAGGTTGCATGTCAACTGTCTACCCAAATTCTTCTTTAAAAATGGTCTAAAAATAGTACTGTCAGTGCTAATAAAATGTGTAACATTAGCACCATGTGTTCATCAAGAACACAAAAAAATAACAGTAATCACACAAAAATTCTTACAGTAAATTAGACTTATTATACACATCCCAAACGTTAAAAATGCAAATAAAAGGCAATAACATATATTATGTGTGTTTACTATGTTTTATTTTTAGTTTAATATTGGTGTTGTTTAGATTTTAATTAGTTTCGCTCAGGTCTATTAGACCCCTTTGTCACCACGCAAAGGTGCACGGATGAGTGAATACCATCACCTCTTCGGTTTAAAACCCCCCTAACATCAATAATGTAATTATCTATGTATATCATTTACAAGCTTATGCTGTTATTTTACTTTTTGTGATTTTTTCCTCTAATTTCATGAGCCATCAGAAAAACAGTGAAACTTATATAGACCTAAATGTTTTAAAGAATACTGTTTTTAAGATTAAAATTAACTGTTTGTATTTTTTCTATTTTGACATTTAGCAGGTAAATAACTGATAATATTTCATATTTTTTGCAGTAAATTTTAATAAACGTAAAAAGAAAGATGGCATATCCATCTCCCCGCCCCATTATATGAATGGCTACTATAATTATGTTGTCCACAAAAAAAAATTTCAATTTTTAACCCCACACCATCCCCCACCCCAGTTCTATTAGGTCAACTTTGAATGAACTCCACTCCTCACTGTATTGTGGACACCCTACAAAATATTTCAAAATATAAATATATAAAGTACCATCTAAAATTTGTTTATAACAATATTATCTACAATTAGTCAAATGGACACACATAATCATTCGTTTTTTTTAAAAACCTTTATAACTTGTGATGATATAAAAAATAGTAAATGAACGACATGATGATTTTATTATATGTGGAGCTGGGTTTACTAAACATAAGCACTGATATTTAAATGTAAACATTTGTTATGAGAGATAAATGAAAATGTTTTAACTTTTAAAATTTTAATCTCCTTCTTCCCCCCCCCCCAACCCAGCATACAAGCATCATATTCTCTTCCTCTTGTCACTGTGTATGCCTATTTCCATAAAGATATTCTTGTCAATCAAATGAAAAATTCCTTACAATCTCAAGTGATGACAGGCCACTCCTCTTTCCCAAGTCTGATAATTCTTTAAGAATCGCCTTCTTCACTTCCTGTTCAGTGAAAAAAATATGTTTCAAAACTTTAAACACATAACTCAGAATTTGGATAAAGTTTAGATAATTTTTATATACTGAAGGAGAAACAGATTTAGTTAATGTTTTGACAGAAGGAAGGTTTGAGTGATTTTTATTCCTACATTACAAGATAATTTAAATTGTTTTTAATTTATTTCAGCTTTTGTAAAGTACATTTAAGGACTTTTTCATTCCATGACCTCATTCATGACCGAATTTAATATTTTTGTGCATTATTTGACACTTTTGACAACAATCTCATCAATAGTCAGTGTTGTGTGGTTCATTGTGCAACTAACCTATATTTTGTCATGCAACCCTGAGTTAACTTATAGAAACTTGGACAAAAATTGGTTACAGTGGCCACACCCCAGGTAGCATGTAGCACATGCTAGCCAATCATATAAAAGACAAAAACCCTCCAGTAGTAAAACAAAATAAGGGCTTACAAACCTTGATTTGAATGAGCTCCTTTATACTACCATTAATGCCAAGCTTTCTACATAAAGCTGGAAATGTTTCTGGGTCTGGAATTACAATCCCCACCAAAAACGCCTGTAAGAAACACAAGGAAAACTATTATATTTTCCTTTCAGTTACGTGTATAATATGTAATTTGCTGTTATAAATGTGAGAAAACATGGATGTCAAGTGCCAAGCTGTTAGGATGAGGTGGAGAAGGAGAATTTTTTACAATATTTTTTACACACATTCATAAGTTGTTTTTTTTTAAACTGGTTTGTTAACAGGATTTTGGTTTGTTCTCTGACGCTAAAAACAAGGTACATACTTGATCAGCCTAAAAAATAATTTTTTTTAAAAATTTTACTGTTTTATACAACAGATATTTTTTATTGATTTCTTTTTTATTTCAACTCATTTATACATAATTATTCAATTCATAGCCTACAGCTTAAAAATAATAGAAGTAAATGTAAAACACTGTAGCTGTTAAAAATTACAAATGCTGTACCATTTCAATAACACTATTGACATTGCCTTAATAGCCAATACAGTAAGTTAACCTATATCAGGGTTTTAACTTATAGATCTAGATCAACATACAGGGTTGTATATACATTTAAAGTGTTTGTAATTTAACTTTAAAAAAGAAACTACCTGTAGGCTGTCTCCATAAACATAAATCTGAGCAATATACTGTGATTCAACAAGAATATTTTCTATCTTTTCTGGTGCCACATATTCTCCCTGTAATTATAATAATTTTTTTTGGCTTAATAATTAACTCAGTACTATGTGAGAATTAGCTTGTTGTGGTAGCATGTTGTCACAACCTTGTTGAAAATGCATTATGTTGGATACAAGCTTTATAGAAAAAATTCAATGTTTTGATATTTTGCACTAAAATAAATACTGTTAAACTTCATAAGGGGCAACAACAAAGATTAATTAAAACAAAGAGTGACAGGATAAAATATCTCAATTCAAATATATCTCTGGATAAAATATTATGTAACCAAAAATAATTACCTGTGCAAGTTTCAGCATATTTTTTTCCTGTCTATTATTTTTAATGTCCCATTCTGTGGGTAAAAATATTTTTATTTCCACATGAACAATAAAGGAATCTCACAATCAAGGAAAAGTGTGGGTTTTTTGTGTGCATGCATTGTAATTTATGACTATTTATAAGACTAAGTTTTAAAAAATGATGCATAGAATTGTGCAGATAAAAAACATTTACATAGCTTGAGATAATTACAAAACATGTCCTGACAAGGAAGAAAACATAAACAACTATATTTACAAACAACAAGACAAATAGAATGACATTTGATTGAATATAAAAAAAAACAACCTTACAGCAACCCATTCTCCTATATCTCCTGTATGTAGCCAGCCATCTTCATCTAAAGCTTCTTTGGTTTTTACAGGGTCCTTCAAATAACCCACAAATATGTTGCCACCCTTTAAACATATCTATATAATAAAATAGGACAGCTTTAGAAAACTATAATATATACAAGGTTAACATGCAAATATGGTTTTACATGTTGAGAACAGGATGTAAATAAACGAACTGATTGGTTAATTTTTTAAAGTGAAAGTTGAATGATACCCTAAAGCAATCTCACCTCTCCCTTGTTGTTCTTGGAATAGTAACCCATTTCAGGAACATCGACTAGCTTAACCATAGTACTTGGTAATGGGGGTCCAACATGGCCTGAATAAAAAAAAAACACCTAAATCCAAACTGGTATTTTAAAAAAATCAATGTGGTAAAATAATCAATTTAAAGAAGAAACGTTATAAAATTTGTAATTAGAACTTACCAGTTTCTGGGTCACCAGGCAATGTGTATGAACAGACAGCAGCATTTTCTGTTTGTCCATAGCCTTCAACAATCTGATTCATAAAATAATATAATTTTTCAATTCATAAATTAGAATGGCCAGACATTTTTCTAAACAAATAAAGCTACTAAACAGATCAGTTTCTGTAATTTAAAACAAAAATCACTTAAAAAGTCATTGGTAACAATATGTCTTGATTTGTTTATACTAATTTATAATGAAATTGAATCATTTGGCTAAAAAGGACCTGATTATTATTGTTGACATAGACCAAAAAGAAGATTTTGTAAATTTATTCATCAGAGTAGACTGTCACTTTTAAAAAAAAAAAAATTAAATTTCAAGCTAAAAAATATTTAGAAATTCAAGAATTTAAGAGGTTTTGAAAAAGTTTGCATTTTAACTAATCATGTTTTACAGTGCTGTAATTTTTTTCAAAGTGACAATCAATACTTTAGTATATTATTGGTTATTTCTATGAATATATTAATTTATATAAATATTTATATATACTAATTTTTGTATTCGCTAATATACCAAAAATAAATTAAAGCCTATTTTGGCTTTTTCCCAATTTGTTTGAGGAATAGCCCAAAACCAAATAAGTTGGACAGGTGTAGTTGCATCGCTATGCTTCACAAGTTGTCCACTTGTACGATGATGATATTGTAAAATGCACTTCACCACTTACTCTTTGAGCAGTTTAAAAATATCTTTTACTACTTACAGGACAGCCAATAATACATCTTAAGTAAGTTAACACATTCCCGGAGATGGGGGCTGATCCTGTTGCTATGAGACGCAAACGACCACCAAGGGCTTCTTGGACCTTTCCAAAAACAATTTTATCCCATATGCTGTTGTTTCTTATCACTCCTCTAAAGAAAAAGAAAAAAAACTTTCCAATAAAAAATTAATACTAATACTATTTTAGGTTTTATTGTTAAGTAAAGTTTAGACATAGACCTGATTTCAAATGTTAAAACACACATTTGTCTCTGCTTTCATAAATGATGTTACATGCTTGGAAGATGGGGTTCAGATATAGTGACGACGTGTGACAGGGTGGGGTTCAGATATAATGATATGCGACAAGATGAAAAGAAAAGAGGGAGTTAAAATCTGTTTCCAAAGTATGACATCATTTATGGACAATACCATGGCAAGGTTTACAATTTAAAATGGGGAAATTACAATTCAGTGAAATATTATAACAAATAAAGTTAATGTTAAAAGAATTGGAATGCCTTATAATGATATAGTTTTTTATATTGTTTTTTTTACCTAGAAATAACTATAATAACCATATTAAGTTTATATATATTTAAATAAGGGTTCTGGTTTAATTGAGAGATTCACTGGATCATGGGGTATTCACATCACAGACCTAACATTCACCTTCCAGTGTCACCAAAAGAGGTGAGAGAGAGATAATATGTTTATAGAGATGCAAACAGCAAAAAGTATCCACAAAGTGGAAGTGAACATAAATTATTTGTACAAATGCATATTAAAGCTATTAATCAACTGCAAATAAATTTTTCTAATAAATGACAGAAAAATAAGCATAAAAAATTATCAGAAAAAAAAAATCAGTTTTAAATATCTAAAACAAATATTTTTAGTAAAAAGTGAAGAAATAAACTCACTGTTTCAGTTCTTTACTTTTACTGCTCAAAGCCACATCAAACAAGAACTTCTTGAGTTTGCTGGAATTTGCACCAGTTGATACCTTCATGGAAAGATAACAGCATGAGGGATTCTTTGTTTTTTTTTTAAATCAACTAAACAGTGAAAAACATTAAATTTGTTACCTTATCATAGAAAAAGCTAAACAGTAAAACTAAATAAGTACTTGTTACCTTATCATAGAAAACAACTAAACAATAAAACAATATATGTTTGTTACCTTCTCATAAATTTTAATCAACAATCGAGGCACGGTTGGAAAGAGGGTAGGTTTGAGTTCTTTCATATCGTCTAATAACTTTCTGACATCACCTTGGAAAAATCCAATGCGAGCACCTACTGTTAAGACGGCTGCCTGAAATTTGAAATTTTTTTTTCATAAGTCAGCTTAAAACTGCAATAATTACTGCTTCAGCATTTTTTTTCAGATCAGACTGACTTGGGCAGATGAAGATCATGTTTTTTTAAAGACCTTGGAATATGAACAAATAGTTGTGATCAATTGTGTACTAAGCCCACACAATTTTACTTTTCTTGGATTAATTCATGTGCCCATCAGAGCTGGGTGGACTCAGGAAATCTTATTGAATCAAGCCTTAGATATGAACTCAAATAAATCATGCCTTCCACCACAACATATCACTGTATTCAATGTAGGCCTACCAAACCAATATCCATTAAGAAAAGAACAATATTTAATACAAGATAACATTTACCCAGATTATAACTGGGACAGGACATTAGCCATCTAAGCCACTCCTCTGCACATCCCCCTTGTACTTAAATGCAACAGACAACACATTGTTTTAAAATACAATCAACTCTGTCAACATTGCAGGAATACATAAGCAAACACAGAATAACAAAACCATTTAATAACAAACAGTTTTTTAAAAAAATCACTTTCTAGACTGATTTACTTTGGTAATTGACCTTCGTGTCAAATTAAGGTAAACAAATGTAGTTTTTAATTGTGTAAGTTTCCTCGAGCACTAATAAAGTTTTAAATTATTGGGGATGAAACTACTCATATTAGTCTTACCTCTATACACCTTTCATAGCAATGTGCTAGTGGCAGGTAGGAAATTACTGAATCCTCTTTGCTGACTGTTACCCCAGTTTTCTCCTAAAAAAATATATTTTATTTACATAAGGTTAATGAGTAATAAAAAGTGGATTGCATACTTATATAAAGCAATTCATCATCATCATCACTCCTTTGTGGCCCCTGGGGAGCAAAGGGCTGCAACCACACATCTCCAGCTGACTCGGTTTTGGGCTGCTCCTCTAATCTGTGCCCATGAGAGCCCAGCTGTTTTCGCCTCTTCCTCAACCGTTCTCTTCCATGTTTTCCTTGGCCGGCCCACCCTCCTTTTCCCCTGGGGTTTCCAGTCCAATGCATGTTTTGCAATGTTTTCTTTTTCTTTTCTTAATGTGTGTCCGATCCATCCCCATTTACGGGCCTTGATGTCTTTCTCTATTGGCTGTTGCTTTAAAATTTGCCACAGGTCTTTGTTTGATATTTTGTCTGGCCATCTTATTTTGAGTATATGTCGTAAGCATTTGTTTACGAACGCCTGTAGCCTACCAGTATTTGTCTTCGTAACCCTCCAGGTCTCCGAGCCATAGAGTAGCACTGCCTTAACATTTGTGTTGAAAATCCCAATTTTGCTCCGGAGTGACAGGGTCGTGGACCTCCACATCGGGCGCAGTGATATAAAGCAATTAGTACCATAAAAATATGCTGATTTTGTACTTTTGATCACAAAAGTTGTGGTATACATCAGGATTTCACCATAAGGATCTGAACTTGAGTTGAGTGTTAGGTGATATGCTTCATGATGATACCAATTTTAAACAAAGATTTCACTGACCATTTGAACTATTTGAAAAGCTTATAAGGTTAATAAAAACAATTTCCTCTCTAAATTGCTGCTTTATACTAGTAAATCATGCTAAAGCTTGCTTATTGATTCATTTAATTGGTTATAATAAAAAAATTCTACAAATAATAAATTGGATGGAAACTAACATTTATTTATCCTATTTCATACCATGTTTGTGAAGACAAAATCCAAAGCTCTAGCTTTCTTGAAAACAGAATTAATTTAAAGAAGTACTTTCATCAGGAAAAATGAAGGTGAGGCATGTAACTTACCATGAATATCAAAGCCCCAGAAATACATGCAATAATGTTGGCATGAGTTAACATAGCGCCTTTAGGTGTACCTTAAATATACAGAAATAAAATTGTTCAATTAAAAAAATACATTTCCTGGTATTTTATAAACTCTGCCCTAGAATATAGCCTTTATAGTGCAAAAATATTCCACTAACAACATTGGAAATTATAACAAATTGGTAAAAAAAATACCAAACCTGTTGTGCCACTTGTATAACACACCAAACACAAATCGCTGGGTTTGGGGGGCTGAAATACAATTTGTTTTACTTCAGTATCTAGTTGTTTTCTTTTAAATTTAACCTTTGAAAGCTTATTTTGAATACTATGAGGAGTAATAGAACAACAAACTATATTTAAAAGATAACCAGATTTTTAAAGTCTTACTTTAGCATCAACTGGGTTTTCTCTGCCCAACTTCTGTAAAGTATTAAAAAAAAATGAAAATCATAGATTTGAGAATACTCTCTCAAAAATACTCTCAAAAGTATTATTTCTCAACACTTTAATTTGAGCTTCTTCATTTACCTATTGGAGAATTATTAAAACAAGTGTGATTATAAAAATATAAGCTCAAGTACAGATTCTATGAAAAAAGCACAAAATACTGGAGGTTCATCAAATATTGGCAGACACAAACTTAAGTTTTAACTTTCAACAGAATGACATTCTAAAAAGTGACGACTAACTTGACAAACCTCAACATCTTCAAACTGTATTAAATGAACTCCATCATGAGCTGCTCTTGTCTTATTTTCTTCTGTAATTTTCTCCATTAAAATAATCCGTGTCAATACAGGAAACTGTTTTCGTCTATCAAGTAATGCTGTAACTTTTGCATTGTTGTCACATATTATTGTGGAGAGGTCAGCTGAAAAACGATAAATCTTTAAAATAATCATTTAAAAATGTCTACTTTAAGCATAAAATGTAAAAATTTTAAGATAATTATTCATTCTCATTATTACTGTGAACTGCGACACCTGTCGATCATACTCAGTTTTGGGCAATTTCTTCCGACTGGGTCCATAACATTCCATCTGTTTGTGCTTTGTTGACAACTTATCTTCCCATGTTTGATTTGTATTTTTCTTTCCTTGGGGATTCTAATCTAACGCCTAAAACAATTATTATTTTGACATTAAAATAATTTACAGAAGACAAGGTTACCTTGATTTATAATAAAGTTACAAGCTTCTAATCCGAGTGTATCATACAAGGGAACCCCACACATGGACTGTCGGAAAAATCCTTGATCAGCCACTACGTACTAAGAAAGTATTTTAAAACTTAATGTAGTAAGATATGAGCATAATAACTAGATACAGTTTTTTATTTAAATTAATTTTTAATTTAGATAAGTATCATGGTTAAATTTATAATTCACCTCTGGTCTGTTCTGGGCATACAATCCAACTCGTGTCTCATTTTGAGGCTTTAAACCAAGAGAAACCAGTCCAGAACCAAAGGATGTGACTCTTTCATTGACCTGTCAAGAGCATTAAAGGTTTCAATGTGGGTGAGAATAAATTGAAAAGAATAAGGACTGCAGCTTTTAATATCACAACTAAGTAAACACATTGGATTAGATATGATGACATAATAATGCTGTTGGATGTGTATTTTGTATATTTCTAATATGTCTTTATTAGAGTGTTCTTTGAACAGGTGCAATTTTCATCCAAATAATCTTGAAGTGGTTTAAAATGAGCCTCATTTGCTCCAACTCACAATCTCAGATTAGCAGAATAAAAAATTATTATTATATAAGTGAGACAGTTAAAAGACAATATGCAGATCATTTGAAAAAGTATCATAGTATGGTTATTTTAAAAAACAGGTATGTTCAGCAATGGACATAGTGGTATTCTCCTGGATTGAAGAGGTAATCAAAACATCTCTTCATGGCAAAGCAATCAATGCTGACATTCATTTTTTGTCCAAAGACATAACAAATATTTAAAATTCTTATAAAAATATTTTTAAACTCAACAGATATACATTTGTAAATACCTCATTATATGTTAACCATTGATATGGTTTGTCTGGGGAAGGTTTCCAGCCCAGGCAAGGCTTGTCTCCTAAAAAAAATCCAAAGAATCGTCAATGCAAGTTTCAAATAGCAACAGAGAGTAGGTCTACTTTTAGGTAATCTCTATTAAACATAATCAACTAAATTACCAATACGTCTAATTCTTGTAGTTGTAGCCAATCTTCATGACAATTAAGCTGATTGGGTCACAAGACATGCTTAGGTACAAGGTATTAGGTTGTAAAAGTAGCTAGGTATTTGTAGACCTTCTCACCACTCAATAGTTCTAAGCCATAACAACAAAAATAGATTAAGACCTTTTTAAAGCTAAACCAAGACAATAATCTGTATTCTTTATTTTAAAAATCTACCTGAAATGCGGAGTCCCCTTTGGAAACTTTCATACAGTGTAGTAACATCTTGATAAACACTAATTAATTTATTGTCAGCACAGAAGCTAGATATCCTTGCTCCATCAGTTGCCTTAAAAGTTAGATTACATCATAAGTCATGTTAGTCCTTTATGACAAAGTTTAAATAATTGTAGGAATATCTTTAAACTATAAACTACAAGATTTCTAGAAAAAACTCAGGGGCCATGCAATAAGTAGATAAGTTTGCAGTTGGAAAGGACAATTGGTTCATTTATGCTTCATGTGATTTAACCATTTTTCTTGCAAGACTTTCAATATTTTTATTCATTGCTATTTTCATTATATATATTCACCTTCTCCAACTAGGGTAAGAGGTTTGGATATCAATCCCATATCCAACCTCAACTTCATTCTTCCCATCAATCCTTCCAACCTCTCCCCCTTGCACAATTTCACCAACCCCATCTACCCCCCCCCCCACCACACATCACTTCCATCTACCCTAAACCCACCTTAGGTGTGGGAGTTCTCACCCCCCCCCCCCCCCAACATTAGGGATGGATGGTTATATGGATAGATGGGTGATCGATAAACTGATGGATGACTATAATTTATTTGGTTGGATGGATTAAGAATTTAGGCCTATAGTAATTAATAAACTATTATCTATGGAATGGATGGATGACATAAATACATGAGTGATGGTTAATCAAATTGATGGTAGATCTAGTTATTTATATGATGATTGGATTGAGATGGATTTTTAAGATCTAGAATCTACTTTTACTAGACATCTAGATCTAGATATCTAGATCTAGTTTGCAGGACTAGGACAGAATAATAGTATAGAAATAGAGTATAGATTAGATAGTTAAAAATAGTTAGATCCAATAGAGCGCGAATCAACATCTACTAGAAGAACAAAAACCAAACAAGATCTAGATTCTATCTATCATTATTTACTATTTAGCCTAGATCTCTAGATCTAGATTCTAAGTCTAGATTGAATTTACTAAAACAAAAGTAAATTATTTAATTAACTAAGAACTGGAAGTGGCCAGTTGCTACACTTTAGTTTAGTCCCTGAGTACCAATAGTACCATTCTATCAATGATATGCCAAGGCCTTATAGAGAAAAAAAAAGCTAAGAAATGAGTTGCCTGTTAGACTGTTACACTTTGGTCTCTATAAGTATGCTTATCAAAATAATTATTACATCTACTAACCTAGACATCCAGACTAGATCTATATTTCTAAAATTAGGGCGTACATGAGTACATTTTAGTTTCCTTCTAGAAAAACAATAATAAATATAAACCATTCAATATAAGGCCCTATTCAAATAGTTATAGACTTATAGACATTAGCAACGGATGTGGGCGGGGACAGGGTCAGAATGCGGAGGGGGTAAAGATCCCATTTTTAGTTAGGCCCTAAATAGTAGATATATTTTTTAAAACGCCTGAATAAACTGGAAAAAACAACAACTCACTTTGTCGATTCCTTTTAAAATTTTAGCTTGGTTATTCAAATCAATATCTGGTTGAAGTTTATATTCGTAGTGTCTATCGACACCGTATTTTGCTGACATTTTCCTGGAAACATAGTTCAAATATCCAGATCTAGAAGAAATTTTGGTGTTGGTCACATCTTGTCTACCAGTAGGCATAGTTCTATATTTGTTTAAACATGAAGTTTGGTATTTACGAAATAGATCAGTTCTCCAGTAAGATTGCAACATCGTGAAGTACTGGCAACTCAATAACTGACGGATGCGGTTAGAATATACAAACCGATATTTCACATTTAGGAACATTATTATTTGTTATTAAATTTGATATTTGTCAATAAAAATAGTACTGTAATGTCATAATTTCTTTTTTTAAAAATACACTGAAGTTTTCTAAAACTTTACCATTGTAGGGAATGGCGGAAATACTATATAGATCTAGGCCTGAGATGGTTTAGAGAGTTTAGCAAATATAATTGTGCGTATGATTGGGCGCGCAAAAACTTATACCATATGCCTTGAATTAGTACAATGGCTTGATAGATAACTGCAGTTTTTAAAAAATCTAGTAACCCTTCCCCCCTCCCCGTACAGAAGAACATATACTGTGATATAGGCCTAGATCTATATGTGTTAATTTTGTTTAATTAACTTTTTGAAAAATAATCAATGTTAAAGTACTAGTTTTCTGTTCTATTGTGCACACATTGCGTTCAATTTGGTGCGGAATTATTTCTATTTCCATTCTATTTTTAAGAATATAATTATTAGGCCTAAAACCAATTAATTTTAAAAATATTTTTTAAAAATGCATTAAAAAAACGTTTTAATACCAAGCTTTTATGTAATAATGCACTAAAAAGTAGAAAATAAATGATTTTCTTTAAATATATAATAATGCACTATTATTTAAATTATTACTATAAAGAAAAGCCTAATTGGGCTTGTAAGTTTATCGTTCTTTCTCGCGTTAATTCATGTCTGGTTAGCCAGGGAGAGATAAAAGTTTTCGAACTAAATCAATTGTTGTGAACGGGATTCCCATTGATAACAAAAAACATGGCGGCTATTTGTTAGTAGGCCCCGCTTCAAGATTTAAAAATCATCAAACGTTCCAGAAATGCAACAATTGTAAAAACTTTCAACGCTGTTTTGTTCATATGGATGGGAACAAACACACGTGTATGCATTTCTGAATATAAAAGTTTTGTGGCGGTCTAGTCCTACGTCAAAAAACATGTGTATTCTAGATCTATCTATCTATATAAAATATAATATATTTGTGTGTGTTATTTTAAAATTAATTTACATAAAACAACTCAGCGTTGGAGTTTGTTTTGATTCCAAAAGCGAAAGTAGATTTCATAACTTAAAAAAATATTCACATTTGGTTTGAAAAAACAAAAAAACGCTAGCTGGCAACTACCGGAGCGAGAACTTGGTAAGCTACTTGAACAACTTACAAGCCCAATACCCAGATAGCTAAACAGTTTAAATATCTCTTCTTCACACTAGAAACACGTATCTTCAGCTAAGTAACTCATGTAAGTTTATCCAGTGAAACAAATGTAGCCGGCTAATGCAACGCTTTATCTCAATGGCAAACTGGCCAGTCAGACATGAAAGTGTAAGGGTCATATGAATCATTTTTAATTTAATGTTAGGTTGTGAGGAAACGGCCGTTTTGGAAATGAAATTTCGAGCGGTTATAAATAAAGAGGGGGATGGAGGGAATATTTGTGGAGTTCAGGTGAATGACCTTTTCCTACAAAAACTGTTTTAGCCGGTGTGATCATGTTCTGGTTGGTTCAATCTGGTTTGACCACTAATGGCTTACTACATACGCCAGGGGTTCTCAACCCTGTGCCCTCGGGCGCCATGGTGCCCGCTGAACGATTCGCATGTGCCCGCCTCTCACTATTCGACAGAGACAGAATTTTTTTCATAAACATTATTTTAAAATATTATTTATTTTTATTCATTTGTTACAGTTTTATTTATTTTTTTGACTGCCTAGGTTTATTAAATATGTTCGATACATGTCCCAACTTGTCTAGCGGCGAGCCAAACAGTGGATAGAGAAAAGTTCCCATTGTTGAAAAAAGCGGCATATAAAATTGAATCATTTTTCGGTTCGACATATTTATGCGAATTATTGTTTTCAAACATGAACTTAATAAAATCAAGATATAGATCTCGACTCACCGATGAGAACCTTTATGATTGTCTGCTAACAGGATTATCGTCATACGCTCCTAATTATGAAGCTCTGGCCAATGAAATGCAATGCCAAAGATCGCATTGACTTTATTATATTTTTTAATTAAATGTTTTCTTTGTATTTATGTGTTTTGTTTTCTTTCTTTACGTTTTGTAAATACATTTCTCTATGTGCATGCAAATTGAAAAAAATGCCAAATAATTTTATTATTTTGAAACATTTTTATTTATTATTTATTAAAACATTACGACTATAAGAAAATTATAGGAAAATGACAAGTTATGGAAAGAGTTTGTCGATTTAAAATAGGTGGTGTCCGCCACCCTACCGATATTTTAGAATGTGCTCTAGAGTAAACAAGTAATTAAAAAAAGTCTAGTGACAATTTTAGCGCAATTTTCTTGTGTTATCTAAAAATAACTCTGTCGTAGCGTAAATCAAGAGCAGGGCTAGTAAAACCATTGGTTAGTTATTAAAACGTTTTTATTAAAAAAAAATTTCAGTATTTTACATGTTTTATTTACAATAGAGTAACATGACTAAAAATCATTGCGCGCCCAGCTACCGAACGTGACGTCGCAGCCATTGAACGTGATGGCGCAGCTATTGAACGTGATGACGCGTGTGGTGTGGTTGCATAAAATGCCTACTAATTCGGTCCAAATTTTAATTAATTCAAAAAAATTTTTGTGACCGAACGAAAGGATATTTTTGAAAACTTTCTTCGGCAATATTGTTCTAAATTATGGCAGAAATCGATTGGTACATGTTTCAAGTCGCTAAGTGGTCTGGTTGCCGAGATATGGGCCAAAAACTGCTTTTTTTCGAGGTTTTTTGGCTTTTCCGGGAAATCCATGAAAGAAACCCGGAATTTTTATGGCCTATGTTCATCCTCGTAACTTGCTTAACATAATTGCTTTGGAACTAGTCATCGATATTGCTTCGTTGAGGAGGAGATACGACTTAAAGCTGCGGACACACATCCATCCATCCATCCATCCATTCATTCATACATCCAGAAATGACGGGTTAATAAACGCAATTCTCCAGAATGGAAATTGCGCTAAAAAAAAGGTTGGGAACCCCTCACATACGCACTAATAGTAGGTACATGGTTCCCAGAAAAATGAGCCAAACTGAATAATGCGCAAATACAAACTAATAATAGATCTACTAATACTCTTTAATTTTGCTATAATTCGTTTTATTATGCTACAATGTACATGATGTGGTTATTTTTTAAATTAATGCTCGATTTAAGAAGACGAAAATATTCTTATTTGGTGTGCAGTTTTCCCGTTGCGCATCTTTCTGGATGTGATGTTTGGTCTACAAAATATTACTATGCACAGCATTCCTATTGATTACGCTTTCACTTTAGTGTGCGATGGATAAAACTCCACAGTTTTTATATAACAGAGGTTAAAATAATTTTTAGTCTATCTACCACCATTTATTACTGATAGTTTGATATAATGTGCGTGTAGTTATTTGGTTTCCAGAGTGAATATAGTTTTGCAAAGTTTGTGGAAAAGAGATATCGAATGCTGTTTTTAATCTGTTTTGATGTGCTTGTCAAGTCATAACTGGAAGTCTCTACAGAAAATTGTTGGTGATGCAATGAAGCATGCAATCCACTGTAACAGGCTTCAAAATGCTGTTGTTTTTTTTTTTTCAGCACTTGGGGCAGAAAACACCCATGTCCATACTTTGGCACGAATATTGGAATTTCCAGATAACAAAGGGTGATTTCTTTCAATGATGATTATAATTGATAGTAGTATTGCACAATGAAACTTTGAAAGAAAAAAATACTAACAGATCAAAATACTTCCATTAACATTTATTAGCTCATTTAAAACTGAAAAGTCATTTTAAAAAAACACGAGCATTATATAAACAATTTCTTTCAACAACTATTAGTAACATTTCAATGTGCTTATACATTTACACTAAGCAAAATAACACATACACATAATAAAGTAGCTCTACTTGCATTTCATTTAATCAATGGTACATTTGACTATTTACATTAATATACAATACATTTTACAATACTAAAACAAATATTGTAATTAGTATAATTAGTTTAAACAAGGTCTTAATTTATCACATATTTCTATCTGAAAACAAACTATTTAAAAAACAGTTCACTTAAATCTTGTTCATAATACAAACTAATTATGCAGATCAATCTATCTCTTCAACAGTTGGTCCGTTGTGATTACTGTGTGACTGATCCCCATGCCCACCCTGTCCTGTATGTAACTTAGCCATTATAGATGAAGAGATCTTTTGTATTTCCTTTAGCTTGTCTTCGAACTCTTCCTTTTCGGCCAGCGAATTATTGTCCAGCCATTTGAGTGTGCTATTGCAGGCATTGAGCACAGAATCCTTGTCCGCAGAAGAAAGTTTGTCACCAGCAGCGTCCACTGCCTGCTTGACACTGAAAACATAGCCCTCCAGTTGGTTTCTGGCACTGACTTTTTCTTGTTGTTTCCTGTCTTCATCTTTGTACTTTTCAGCTTCGGCCAACATTCTATCAATATCTGCCTGACTGAGGCGACCTCTATCATTTTTTATGGTAATGTTATTCGACTTTCCAGTACTCTTGTCTTGGGCGGTGACATTGAGAATACCATTGGCATCGATGTCAAAGGTGACTTCAATCTGTGGCACCCCGCGAGGAGCAGGCGGGATACCTGTCAGGTGAAATTGACCCAAGAGATTATTGTCTTTAGTCATGGTCCTCTCACCTTCATACACCTGTATGTCGACTCCGGGTTGGTTGTCAGCATAAGTGGTAAAGATCTGGGATGTTTTGGTAGGGATGGTGGTGCCTCTCTTGACGAGGGCAGTCATAACGCCTCCAGCTGTCTCAATGCCGAGAGACAATGGAGCTACGTCAACAAGTAGAACATCCTTGATGGTGTCACTCGTGTCTCCAGTGAGCACAGCAGCTTGGACGGCAGCGCCATAGGCCACAGCTTCGTCGGGGTTAATGGATTTGTTCAGTTCTTTTCCGTTGAAGAAGTCGCTCAACAGCTTCTGCACCTTGGGAATACGCGTTGACCCTCCAACCAAGACCACTTCATCGATTTTGCCTTTATCGAGCTTAGCGTCCCTCAAAGCTGTCTCGACGGGCTCAAGCGTCGATCTGAACAGGTCACCGCACAGCTCTTCAAAT